ACCCAATGAATGCACTTTTAAACTCAGCGGTCTGGCAAAGATGCAAAAATTAAAGCTATTCTTTATGTAAGCTGTGAGCTTGTGTCATAGGTTGTGGAAATTAAAAGAACTAACGAAGAAAATTGAAGCAGTTTCAGGAGTTGAGTCCTTTGGATAAGTGCAGTGAAATGGAATTCTTGTCCTTTAGGTAGAGAGGACACTTCGCTTCATCATATATAATTCACAATGGTGAGTGTGATTTTTATCTCGATGATAAATTGCAAGGCACTGTGATAAATGCATTTTGGCACATGAGCACACTTTTTTACTCCAATTCACACAACTTATTTCCCAGTTTTTGGGTAAAACCTATTTTCTCAAGTCACTGAGCAAAGTGTTCAAAATCTGTATTGACATCAGAGTAACACAGTTTCTCTTTCCTTAAATAAACATTCAGATACACTTCCCGGGCCCTGACACTTTTTTTTGCAAATGTTCTCTTGCCTTGTTCCACTTGTAAGGCAACATATCACCACAGTCAAGTGAAACACTGTAAGTCCATTTTTTTTTTTATATGCTGTTGGCTTTTTCTGTTTTTAGATTTTTCACTTTCCGCCACGCGCTCAGGAAGTGTTATGACTTGGGCTTCTGAAACCCATCGAGAAGCCGTTTTGACATTCTTGAAAATGCATGGGCGTCAGTGGGGAAATCAACTTGTTTGTCTGAATTCCTGAAGAGAAATGTGTGTTTTTCGAGATTTGAGAAATCTTTTTTTAAGACCGCTCTAGCAGGCCGGGTTGTGAGGATTTGTAATGTGCCCATGGCAGACCAGTGCTCTTTCATACAGTGTCAGAGAAATACACCACTGACCCTTTGCTGCATATGAAGAGTGTTTCTGAGTGATACACATCAAGCACTGAAAAAGAAGAAAGTTGTAGACAGCGAGGTGGTGACAGACAAATGAGAGAGAGACTGATTTAAAATAGACTTGCAATAGGCTGTGAGAAATGAACAAAATGCAGAGTAAAATGCGTAAACTACAGTGAGAAGTCACCAGTGGTAAGTTATCGTGTTGTGGAAATACTATTACAAGTAAGCTAATAAAAAACTGGAAGTTCTGACACGAGCTTGTGAGCAAGATGGCAGTGATGTGTGGGAGTGCAGGACAATAGGGGTCCAAATCGGTGCATGTATGTGTCCATTACAAAGCCTTTGTACTTAGATTATTAGTATCTGTGACTATCGAGTGAGAGCGTGAGAGAAAGGGTGGTAAGACAGAGACAGACAATGACATGGAGCGAATGTGAGAGAAAAAAGTGGGGGTTTCTTGTTAGACAGTGCCCTGGGCTAAAGGAAGCTGACACCTTGACTTCAATTATTAACATTGTGCTTGGCTTTTCATTCAATTATGCCTGTACAGTTTCGCACTCGCTCTCTTTCTCTCACTTTTGCTCCCACCAACACTCCCCCGTCTGGCTATAAAATCTTTTGTGGCACTGTTTAGGTTCGAGTCCTTGTTGACTGTGTTTCTCATCTCTGTGCTGTTGCTGTGGCACCATTCATCTCATATAGATATGCCCCAAAGCCAAAATTAACTTACTATTCATAAAGGCGCGTACACAAAAGGACAACTTAAAAGCGCATTGTCCCTCATTAGGAAATGGTAGACTAAAGTAAAATGGAAGTGCTTCCACACATGCCTTATGTGCAAAACTATATTGTTTGTTGGGATTATTGTTTCTTTCACACAGTAGGTCAAGTGAGACTCAGTTTAATTATAAACCTTAAGGCCATTCAGGATACTTTGTGCGTCCACAGTTTCTGAAAGCCCTGTGCAATTAAATGTTTTATTTTTTTAAATTTGTTTTCCTCTGCAAAACAACCTATATCTGAGTGGTTTCAATAACTTGAGGCTCCACTGTGCTAGTTTTGTGGATTCCAGTCCAACTACATATTTATATGCATATATTTGTACGTGTGTGTGGTAAAGTGTAACGGCAAACATCTGTCTTGCAGTGTGTTTGATTAGTCTCCTGACACAAGCAGGACAACACTGTTCACAGTTAGGAAATTGTATTAATTGTATTACAATATTGGCCCATATTTAAAGGCTCAAAATGTTTTCTTTGTTGATAAAATGTGTAATCTTGCAGATGTGTTCACGATAGTGTTTCTTTGTCTGGTTGCATTTGGCTTTCAGGAAATATATGACAAGATACCCAGTCAGTCGATACCCTAGATGGTGTGGGCAGCTTCTGGATGTGAAGAGAGTAAGAGAGCTGTTGGGTAGCGCTAATGATTCAAAATAAAAAACTTCACTGCAAGACAACAACAAAGGCCAGGTTTTCAGGGAACAGAAGAGCTTTTGAGCCTTTCTCTGATCCTTCGCCTCCCCCTTTTATCACTTCAAGTTGTTCTGGATAAAAGTGCCTAAACTGCGTGATTATTCAGCTGGATGTAACTGGGAAGAAAAAGGCCTTGGTGCTCAGTCAACTAGTGGGGACGTATAGACTGAATGGGTCAAAGCTAAGAGCAGAATCATCTCCAAAGTGAGCAAGGTTTTACCATATTTTGTGTGATATATAATATCGACGTGCAAATAAACCCCAGCAGCCAACACTTAACAGATGCATTTGTCCATGTGTATGCTTGGCCTGCAGTGTCAAGGGTCGACGGAGAACAATTTGAAAATAAGGTTTGTTCACAGAGAGGAAAGATTTAATGAAAGGAAAAGGAAACAGTGTAGATTTTCCCACAGGCATTTACACAAAGCAGGATAGGCAACTTGAGTCATCAAGATTACTGTAGCAAAATATGGCTCATCAAAAGTACTGTTAGATTTTTATTTGATGCATTCGACTTTACAAAACACCAGATAAAGAAAAATATACGTAAATACTGTACACATTTTAAAATTCCTGGTTTTATTGCCTGTCACCCGTTTGTTGAACTCTTAGTTTGTCTTTTGTTCTGTCAGTTGCAGAAATCATCAGTGTCCCTGTTTTATGTGCTTCAGTAAAATATTCCCTCCTGTAGAGATCGGGGTTGCATTCATGAATGCTACGAGTCTATTTTGAACAATTGTCCCTACCTGAAATGTATTTACTTGAAAATGATTCTGTCCTCAGAAAATGGTTTTATGCAAGCAAAGTTGTTGAAGCTTGCTAAATAACAAAGTGTACTGGCACTGCAGCAGTCTATTTAAAATTTGAAGGGTGTCTGTTGTAATCACGTTCTTCAAATACAAAAACCTACACTTTGAATTCAAATTGAATCTATGCTGAGTTATTCACATACACATCAGAAAGCGTGAGTGTGGAACTTTGAGATCTACTTCAATGACACTTGAAGTGTTGATGGCCAGCCTTGAGCCTTGAAAATCAAAGGGGGTGTGCAGGGCTTTATGAAAATCACAACCTGGAAATTGGGGCTTTGAGCTTTGAAACAGCATATTGCACAGGTGTAGAGGCCATTTCTGAGTGTGCAGCAATATTCGTGACAATTTCCGCTCCTTCAGCATCTCATACATTCACAGCTTTATGTAGGCAGTCTCTTTCAGCTTGGCCTCCATTTTGTGTTGAAAAAGATTAGAACTCCTGATGTGTGTGTGTGTGCGTGCGTGCGTGCGTGCGTGCGTATGTTCGTTTTGGAATTACAGTGTTTTGATGATTTTTAAGCCGTTGGAGGTGAACAAAACTGAATGAGGGCAAAATCACTTTAGATAAAATGGTGAGTTGTAAAGAGCAAAAGTATAATGAAAAAATATTGTTGAAATGCTGGCAGCACATCTACATTGTCTGAACATATTACCAGCATATCATCACTGTGGCACAACATTGCTATAATTACAATTTCTTCTCCTTTCTCTTCCGGCCCCTCGAGGGGCTCCATATGTTGTGGTGTTGGACAGTCCTCAGTCTCCTCTTCACATCTCTCCTCTGCTCTCTTGCCAAGCGCTTTGGAACAGTCCAGCCTTTCTGTTTCTAACTCATCTCGTGCTTGTTTTCTCACCTCTTATCTCTTTATTTTGCTCTTCTCGTATGTCTGCAGGTTAATTTACGTTTTAATAGATGTGCGATGTCCACATTTACAATCCACTAACAAACCATTAACAAATGCTGTGGATGTGTTAAAATTTAAACATGTAAGGAATGAAAATGCTGTGCCACTACACTAAAATGGTAAACCCACAATAGCAAAGAACCATTTGACTCTGCGTCTTGCACCTTTGGGAAGGGTGCAGTGTCAAAGTTTTAGTTTGCCAAATTTATTTTAGGCAGTTTTTAGGTTCCTGGTATGTTCACTTTCATTTGACAGTTTAAAGTTGTGGGTGATATGAAATACTGAGAAATGCGTGACTAGGATCCAGAGCTGGATTTAAACTCTAACACACTGACACATTTCAGACCACCGAACCACTTGGATGCCCTGTCTTTCACTTTTGTTGTGTGACTGGTATGCTCTCTTGCCTCCCTCTTTTGACCTCTGAAGCAATGGCTACATGTACTAGACAGCTGATCTTTTATCCTCCTGTGAGCTGAGACAGAGGGGTGCAATTAGTTGTACAATTGTTTCCTAAGTACTGCGAATAAAGCTGATTACTGAGGAACCGCAGTTGCACATAATCGACACACACATTAGAATTTCCTGCAAGAAGTATCTGAAGAATGTTTTAAAAAAACATACATCCACTGATATTTGTGGACCATGCAGAATGAGACAATGATTGCTCTAATGAAAACACTAAATCTTAAATTGACAAATTGTGCTAGCGTATTTGTCAAAAGGTTAAAGGTGGATTCTGCTGCAGTTAGCAAGAAAATTGTGCTAGCGTATTTTCTTGCTAACTGCAGCAGAATCCACCTTTTAACCTTTTTATTTAAAATAATTCACTTGGTGTCAATGAACAACAGTATTTTGAACATGTATTTGTTGCAAGGAATCTGTAATCTTAGATCAAGATTTTTTTGTTATATAAAGTCCTTCACTCGTCGCTTTTCTGTTCTGTTCCTGCCAGGTCTTCCGAAGCGGTGAAGGCATGGGCATCCGCCTGGACAGTGCATCTGCCTTCCAGGGTGCTGTCATTTCCCCCCACTATGACTCCCTGCTGGTAAAAGTCATCGCCAGCGGGAAGGACCTGCAGACAGCCGCTTCCAAGATGAGCCGCGCTCTGGCCGAGTTCAGAGTGCGAGGGGTCAAGGTAGGACATCCTGCCATGTGTGCTTGAGGGTGCTGGTGCTTTGTCTGCAGCTTTTTCCTGCTTTCATTTGCATTTAACATGCTCATCATTATTTCCTGCGGGGTGAGAAAAGCATGACCTCTTGAGCTGATGGAAAACTGTGGAATATGTCAAAATGCTTTGTTGTCAAGCTGAAAAGTAGGCAACTGCATTAGACCCTGAGGAGCGATATTCTCTTGACAGCAGAGATTTAAATGTGATGGTGTTCTCTGTATTGGTTTGCTGTGAATGGCTTGATAAGAGCCTATCTCAAACTATCAAAGCCAGTCTGCAGAACAGGTTACTGTGAAGTGGTGTTTCAGTGTTGCTAGACACTTCTTACATCTTTGTGTGACCTGTCTGGTTGATTACTTGCTCTCTAATACTCTTTATTTCTTGGTTTTCAGACTGAAAACATACCCTGTGTCTAAAACTGACGAATATATCTTTGCAAAAACACAGAAGCCTCTAGGGAGATTGTACTAAACATTATCACCTAGTGCAAATGTTTTTTTGCAGTTTGAGAAGGTGGAGGTAATTAAAAAAAAAAAAAGAGCTGCATGGGTTGTTCATGTACCAGTCATATAAGCCAATGATGTCATGAACAGCATCACAGGTCTCCCACACCTTTACCTTACCACAAATATTTACACTCCTAATCAGACAAAGCCACCCGGAGTCTGCACCCGTACAAAGAAAGTAAAAAGTCTTGGATTCTTTGGTATTGTGTGCTTTATTTTTAAAACACCTTATAAACATGATACTTAGTGTGGTACACAGTGGTAAATCAGTCAGACTGGGAAAATTGTACTATTTTTGTTTTTGTCAGCCTAATGAAAGTTAGTGTTAAAACAACTCTGCCACTCCAAGTACTTACTTTAACAGATGGTTGACAATTTGTTTAAAGCTAGTTACTGGTTCAGTTGGATAAGAAAGAAGTACAGAATTGAAACATTTGTGTCTTTCATTTTCACCCTGCAATGGAAAAAGGTCCATTTGCTGTCTGGATGAGTCTGAGGTAATTTTAAGTAACTCTTAACAGCGAATTCACATGTGCCTTTTTTGCCCTGTACATTGAGATGAAAGTTGTGTTGAGCTATTAATACCATGAGCAGTGTCAACATAGATTTATTACTGTGTAAATTAAAGCATTTAATTTCAAGGTGAAGCCAGGGTAGTCAGTTATCAAGGTGAGCAAGTCTTCTCAGCAGTTGAGTTGTTTTTTTGTGTAGAGATGCTGGTAAGATGGAAAAGCAACTAAATAATTTCAAATTCTTGGAAATGTAACATTTATATAGTTGCTAAGTGAAAAGACACATTCCAGTTATTAAGCCTCAGTAAAGCCTATTTAAAAGCTGAAATGCCAGTGACATATTAAAATGTTGTCTTTGTTAAACAGAGTGGCAGAAAATGAGCAATGATGCTTATTTTTATTGTATTTTTTTTGCACAACCAAGTAAAGAAAAGCTCTTCATGTTCAAACAAGAATGAATGTCAGCAGGGGTTAATGTAAATTCATTTGGAGGTGTGAGTTTACATCCATAGGTCAGTAAGAGTTTATCCACTTGTGTTTGCCGTTTTGGGTACCCATTATACAGGATGTGGAGTATAATATTAAAAATTAATAAAAATAAATATATTTATTTTTTTATATAAAAAAATAAAAGATCAGTTAATGGTTTCATTTAACATTTGCTTTGCTGTATTTCATACAGTGTTTCTTACATGTAGAGAGATGAAAATGATGAGGTGTGAGGTGAATAAAGGGATAGCTGTAGCGTAGTGGAACTGAAAATTCAGTCTGCTCAGTCATAGTAATTCCTCAGTCTGCTTTGAATTAGTCATGATGAGGTGAAATTGCAAGTCAAATTGGTTTTCTCAACTCTAATTTCTCATTTAAGTTGGAGTGTGCTTGACAAACTGTCAGCACAGATTTAATAGATAAATGTTCCCTTCTAATAGAGTGAGAAAGTGTTTGATGTTAGCCAGGATGTGATGGGCTTGTGGACACTGTCCTTTGTCCTCTCCTCAATTGATTATGTAAACACACTAGGATGCCAACCTCTGTACCTCTCTTATGCTGGCTGCAATTGAAATAATTTTCTGCAATGGCAACAGCTGTTTCTCAGTGTAAAAGCAGGATTTCTTTTGGAAGGACAAAACGACAGAGGACAGTGTGTGCAACAAGATACTGTGAGCAACCCTGGTGCATGTGCTGATCAGACATGAATTGGAGAACTTTGCATTCTTTACCATCAAACTAGTATAAAAGCTTTGTATCACATTGACACCGGCAGAAAACGGTACATTGATGCAAAACACACTGGATAACTGTTACAAGGTTTTGAATTAAACGTGTTTCTCTGAAGACTGCTGGTGGCAGTCTGAAACTTTGACATCTCTTTTCAAAGATTTTGTTGAGCAAAACAAGCAACATTCAACATTCTCACACCACTGAATTTAAAGCCTGCCTGCTGTTAAGAGTGGTCTGGTTGGGTTTGATGTCCCAGGGTCCATGCACCTGTATTGTTTAATAATGGATGAATGGCATGAAATCATCCATTGCCAGCTTGAAAAAAATATGCACATTATTTATGAAAACACATTATTTATGAAAACACTCAGGTTTTATCTTACCAGATAGTTAACTGCAACCACCTGGCGTCACAAGTTTGATTCTGTCCATGAGTTGAGTAGCCTTCTACACTGAAAATCAGATGGACTCCTGAAAACCTGGATTGTGTACCGTAGAACCACAGTAATATGTTGTCTGCTCCTGTAGCTCTAAAAAAATAAATAAAAAAATGTTTTGCTGAAGTAAATAGTTTGAAAATGTGACACTTGTTTGACGTGGACACCCTACTTAATTCAGCAAGTGTTTTCTGTCCTAATAATTAATTAATTCATTTAGCAGGTGGCTGATATGTGTATAAATAAGCATACATAGTTGGCTGAATCTAGAGCACTATGACAAGATAATCATGTGCTGATGGAGACCAATGAAGATGTTCCTTTATTGTCTACAACAAGAGTTGTGGTTCAGTGTTTTCTTTGGGTTTGTGAGTGGTAGCTTTGGAGAGTGTTGCTAGTGCCGTGTTGGAATGTCACCAGTAAGCCAGAGTGTTGGCAACACATCCAAGAACGATTAATGCTTTGGTCTGCTCACAAGAGATATGACGCTGAAGACTGACATCCTCATAACTCTGCCCCCCTCCCAATGAAGAAAATGTGGCCACAGCAAATCTGAGAAAGACCACACTAAGCTTTACAAATCTTTCTTTGAGTTGGGTGGCTCCTGTAATCATGACAATTCCTCAGCATGTGAAGTATCGTAATACCTTTTCAATTCAAGTGAAAACCAGAATGCACCAACCAAAGTTTGAGTTACTTGGTTGACACTTGATAACATGCTGCTCTCCTCTGTTGTGTGGAATTATGTTTGGCATTTCAGAAAGCCCTGTTTATCTCCTGTATGTGTGTCTTGGTCTATCAGTATGTTTGTGTATGTGTGCGCGCGCAAAGGATGAGCCATGTGTGCAAGCAGTAAAATGTCACAAATCCAGCAGCAAAAAGAGAGGGGAGGAAAGTGATGGGCAGTAAAGCGACAAGACATGAGGCAGGAGGGTAAAGATAGATGGATAGATGAGCGGGGGAAAACGGCAAAAGGGCAATCAAGATGGAGTGTGTAACAGAAAGCGACAAGTAAGGTGGCATGGCCCATAGAGCTCAGTGCACCTGTGGCTGTTTGTCTTCAATGCACATTGCTGGTTAAATTTAGAAGAGTCGAAGACTGAATAATGTCGGCGTTTGTGTGTATTCTTTATAGCGACAACAAAAAGAAATCAGGGTTTGTAAATCTTTTCTAATCGCAGGCTCTTTAAGTCACTGACATGAGGCAATGAATTATAAAAAAATAAATTTGTTCTGAACACTAAGATAACAAAAAATAAACACTGCTGTCCAGGAAGACCTTTAAATCTGTCTACCTTAATTGACCCTTTGATAATCCCCTCCCCCGATCAGTTAACTATTCGTGTGTTTCTCCACATGCTGAAGCAATGTGTATGCCATCAACTGCTTTTTTAAGACATCCTTACTGTGTTGTTTTAAACGACATTGCTGCTGGCTGGAAATAAAAAGGCTGCTTTCTTTACGTTGGTCTCACATCAAGGACCCGTTTGTTTGTTTGTTTTTTTTTTAAAAAGAAAAAAGAATTGGTGTGATTCAAGTAATAAATCTGCCCCAGGTGTCCCAAAGGACCAGTTCTTGATGGGACCTGAGGACCTGGAGCATCTGTCCTGTGCAAATTGCTCATCACACAAGTTGATGGTTTATCATGTGAAACCAGCTAATGACTGACTGACTAATGCGCTCGGGAACAAACACATACTCCCTTTCTGCAGAACATCTGATGTTTTCTGGACACGTTCCTGTTGATTCCTGGACTGTGTGCGTGACAGAGGTAGACGAATAGACGAGTGCGTAGGTTTGTAGGTAGGTAGCGTGAGGAAAAGGCTGTGATTCATAAACTATGTAGTATTCGGTTTGTTTGTTTAGAAGTCATTTTTGCGACACCGGGGGCTTTGCTTGAGGCACTTTGGTTTTGTCGCGGTTCATCTTTACACCTCATCTGTAAGAGTGAGAGAGTTGGAGGTGACCTGAGGTTGTAGCGCTGTCTGTGTGAGTGAGTGAGAGGGTGGTTGGTGATGATTCCCATCTAGAGAGGCTCTTTGAAGAATCTCTGTAATGTTTTGCATCGTTCTAGCCTGCCAGATCACAGGCTACTTCCCATCTTAAGATCCCAGCACACTTGTCCTGGTGTTATTCGCTTCATATCAATGAAAGTAAGAGCATTATTTTTTTAATCAGCACTTCTGTCATACATGATTATTTAAGTGTCACATGGATTTTGGTCCGTCTTTTGGACAAGGTCACAGTGACTAAACATGAGTTCATTTTTAATGGAGGAAAGGGTTTTTATTGTACTGTCTAGTTCTTGGTAGTTTATTTCTCGCAATCATCTTCCTCCTCTTTGTTTAGTCCTCTGATTATTTCTCTGCTCTTGTTTTTTCACACTTCAATTTGTTTCATAAATGTTTTGAATTAGTATTGCATGAATAGTACTAGCCAAATATGTAGCGACAGCTGGGATTCATCATATCGTATAAATAAATAAACTGTGTGCGCTCCATTATTTGTGGATACTATGATTTTATCTGGCTGCACTGTGCAGTTGTCAGGGATGGGGATCGTTCATTTTTCTTGATATTGATACCCTTACTGAGATGGCTTAACAATCCGATTCTTTATCGATACTTTACTATTATTTGCTGATGGTTATTTGGTAAGACCAGACCCAATGGGCATGAGGTAGGCCTGCACGGTGTGAGGAAAATATTCAATATGCGACAACATTTTTATATATTGAGATGACATAACTTGCAATAAATAAATATTGAAGTGCTCGTATTAGCCAACTGCCTGGTTGATTTTAAATTAATTACAGGATTAGAATTTAATATTTTAAATACAACTAAATGTTTCTAGGGCAGCTACATTAATGTTTACAACACCAAAGTCACTATATAAACTCAATATCTGACATCACAATAGTGAGTGGCGACATTAGTCTGTATCAGTCTCTCGTCCTCCCCTCTGCTGTTATTCACTGCCTGCAGGTAACGTTACCTGGTCGAAGGAAGAGCGGCTGGTTTGTCTAAGCCAGCAGCTGAGTTTATAACAACGTGCCAGATCTTAAGCCTACAGACCAGTCTATGCTCCAGACAATCGGCTTTCTTTTTTGCTTGTTTTTAACATTTGGCTAACTGCCAAGTTAACATTAGCTGTGCTTGCATAAAACATACAGGATGACGGACTGAGGACAGAGCTGATTAAATTAACCCTTTCTACAGGTTTACCTTACAGAGTGTATTAATAAAGTATTGTCTTTACTTGCGAAAGTTTTATTGCATGTACTTACAGTAACGAGCATAGCTCTGGGCAACTGGAGTAGTTTGGAGCTAAGGTAACCCTCACCGTCTCCACCGCAATGGAGCGGATTCTCTCTCTGCTGGGTGCTGTCTGTGTATGAAGGAGCTGCAGAGGCTGCAGCCTGATGATAAACAGTCGCGGGTCCGTTTAATACCGCGTTCCGGTGCCGTCACTAAATAAACATTAGTTTTCTTATTCATCGCGTTCCAAGTTAAACCAGATTTGACGCTCGAGACATAACTCTACATTATAGGACCCGCTAGTCTCGATAGCGGTATCAATAAGCTCGGACCTTATTGATTTTCGGATGTTGAGAAATTTTGGAACTGGGTCCTTTTAGAACTAGGTATTGATCCCCATCCCTAGTTGTCAGTAGAGCTGGTCATTCATTATGACATTCAGCAGATTGTTTTTTTTAAGATAGTGTAGTACTGACACACAGCTACATTTGGGCTATCAGAACCGCAGGAATGTATCCCTCAGATTGTTGCTGCTGCGTACTCTTTCTGTTTACCTGGTCTCAAGTGTGTGTCTGTGTGTTAACCTGTGTCAGGGTGGGCTTGTGAACATGTCTGTCTGGCCAAGCACGCCGTTTCCCAGTGCCTGTGTTGTCTTGTCTAACTCTTTTATAATACCCTACGCTCTGTTCGTTTCTTTCTCTGCCTGCCAAGTATACGACTCCCGAACGCTTGTTTTTTTTCTTCTCTTCTGTCACGCTCCTCCACTACTTCACCTGTTTGACCTCTGTCTTCCCTCATGAGCAAAGTTGTCTTCTAGTTCTCTCATGTGTATCTCTTGTTTTCAGGTCCGTGAGTCTCCCGGTAACGGTTCACTGACTTGTGTTTTGGTTACATATGTTTTTCCATGGTCTACCATTTTTTTTAAATCTCCAGACTTTGTGTACCTGCAGTCTGTTTCTAGAATCCATATTGGCCCTTTTTATAGCTGTTTATATTAATAAATTGTGATGAAGAGTCAAATCAGCAACAGTTATTGTTTAATCCAAACTCTAAAGCTTAATTTACATCCAAATTAAGCTGAAACAGAAATCACCTGCATTGGTAATGCGTATAAATAATACTTTATGAATCACAGCTTTTCTTAGTTTTATTTTAGTTTCTTCCAATAAACTCAAGAGAAACTGAGACAATGTTGTGTGAATGAGGTCAACTGTACAGAGGAGTAAACATCTAACTTTCATGCCACAACAAAAGACCACCGCGCTGCAAGTGGCTTTTCAAGCTTTGTGCAAGCAACCTCAGCATCTGTGCTTCTCCTGAAGAGTCTGTTATTGCAGAGCATTGATTAAGTCATTTAAAACTGGACTATACATAACAGCTTTCATTGACAGAACATTGGAGTTAAGTTTATTTGTTCATTTATCATCAAGCTGAAAATCTATCCA